GGGCGTTGACTACAGCCACACATCTCCTGTACATGGAGTGGACTAGCCTGTTGATGACGGCCATTGGGATATGGGCCCATATCCTCAGGAACGCTACACGCAGTTCTGCTGCAGTTGTCGGCCTTGGGCGTACGTCGTTGAGTCGGCGTTGGATCTCATCCCATAAGTGTTCAATGGGATTCAAATGCGGACTGAGGGCAGGCCAAGGCATGATTTGAATGTTGTGCTGTTGGAGGAAGTCCCTGGTGACTCTGGCAGTGTGGGGACGGGCGTTGTCTTGCTGAAAGGTGTGGTTTTGATTACGGGGGAAAAAGGCATGATATGGGGTCTGAGGACTTGGTCAATGTAGCGGAAAGCTGTGATGCCATTACCCCTGCCTGGACCAATATTCTGAAAGACCACAGGTCGACTCTCGGGTTTAGTCCGATACCACCCCAAACCATGATACCTGGGCCGCCCCACGGGTCTCGTTCCATAACACAAGCATCAGGATAACGTTCGCCCCTCCTTCGCCAGACCCTGACTCTGCCATCCACCGTTGAAACACAGTAGCGACTTTCATCAGTGAAGATGATTCTTCTCCATTGCTGTTGACGCCATTTTTATGCTGCCTGGCCCATTGCGGTCGGGCCTGTCGGTGACGATCCCTCAGGATGGGTACACCAGCAGGACGGTGGCACGACATGTTGGCAGTTAGGCCACGTCGGACTGTACGATCACTGATGGCACGCTGGTGGTTGCCAATGGTTTGCCGAGCTGTTTCAGTGGCCATTCGGAATCGGTTCTGCAGACGTTGGCGTATCATGAACCGATCTTGTCTGGGAGCAGTGACTCTAGGACGACCACTACGCGGTCGGTCGTCGGTGGTGTTGGTGGTGTCGGTGGTGTTGGTGGTGTTGTGGCGATATTGCAAACGATATATCGTTCTGACGTTGACATTGAATGCATTTGCAATGACCTGTGCACTCTGGCCTGCTTGCAGTCTTTCGATCGCTTGTTGTCTCTCATTTCCTGATAATCTTGGCATGGCTGATGAATCGAAATAACGAAAGCCAGCTTAACAGTTTTGAGTGTCTTTTATACCCTTCCATCCACGATATGCACGTGCATCATGTTTTTTACAAGACCTTTTCGCAACTGAGTCCCATTGCACTTTTGTAGGCTGCGTTTGGGCAAAGCACTCCATTTCAAACTCAATTGTTCAATGGACTTTAAGGCAACAAAAAGAAGCAGTAGAACGTAAAATGAGTTTACTGACCACAGAACAGGTAACTGCCACTGTCTGTAAAGTTTTATCAGTATTTTCAGAAGTGACGGGTTTTTTTGCCTTTCAGTGTACATGAACTGATTTGTCATGAAACTTATGATTTGAAGTAAATACCATCACTCCTTTCAGTGCAACATTCATGCACAGTATTTTACAAACTAACCATTTAAATATGCATCTACACTTTCAAAAGGTAACCAAGGCATTCAGCTATTCTGCCAGCAAACAAAAGAAAACATACCAACAATTTCAATTTTTCTTCAAGCTTTCTTCAATGCGATTTATTTCCCTTTTCCTGTTCTGGAACGTCCTTCTCGAGAATCTCAGCTGATCTCCTTCTTCATGCATTCGACTCTGCAAGCAGTGTCAGAGCAGATTTTCCCTCAGCATCTCTTGCTTTCTTATCAGCAGAACTGATGTGTGTGTACAGTGGCTTCGAGGATCTTTTTTTCTTTTCTTTGCCTATGTGAACTCTTCAGAAAGTTCTTTCCTTTTTCTAGACTTTATGCTTTTTGTGCTTTAGTTTCTTTTCCAAGAGATGCAGCATGTACCTGTTACTTGAGTATTAACATGAAGCAAAAAGAGCAGGTGTGATCTCAAACTCTGACAGTTTCTTCCCTGTTGATGTCATTGAGTCATGAACTAGTCTTTGTGCTGTAAGACTCTCTTCAGCAAAGTAAGGTAAAATGACATCTTTATTAACCAGAAATCCACCTTCAACAGAAGCCTGTGCATGGGAAAGTGTAAGGAAGATATTCACAACTTCCCAGAATTCTGCTTATTCCTGTTTCCATTCAAAGTGCCTTGAAAAGAAATGATCCAGTCTTGTGTTAATAATGTTGAACCCTGTGAAATCGTCTTTATCGAACATCCGTGACTTTTCAACAAAAAGCTTGAACTGAGTGAGGATGATGTCACATTGCTGGGGTTTTTTTCCATTTGGTTTCAGACAGTATGGTAAGAACCTTCTCAAACATTTTGTTTATAACACCAGGTTCAGAGATAATGTGTCCTGGGTCCAAACTTGTCACGAATCTGATAAAACTATAATACAGTGGGGAGATTTCTTGCAGCTTTAGACCACCTCCGTGGTCTAGTGGTAGAGCGTCTGCCCAGAGAGCGGAAGGTCTGAAGTTCGATCCCCGGCCGCGTCATACCAAAAGACGCTTAAAGATGGTACTTGTTGTTACCCTGTCTGGCGCTCGGCATTAAGGGGCTAAAACAAGGACTTGTCGGCTCGGAGTCAGTATACTGTGTCTGAGTGGGATATTCATGTTAAACTGCGGCATGGTATCTCAGTGAGCTAGCACTATAAATCGGCATCAGTCCGGACTAGTACAAGCAGCCACACACACACACACACACACATACATGCACGTCGCTATATAAATGCAATAATCTTGGATGCTACGTTAAACCCCATTTAACCTCACCTCACCTCTTGCAGCTTGCATTCCTGAACTATAGTACTTTGAGGGCACTAATTCATTCAGTGCCTTGGAAACAGCAGCCTTTGCCCAATTCGTCTTCTGAACTGTCCGAAATGCATCATGAACTGTGTGCAGACGGCACGATCCAACTTGAAGAAGCTCAACATCAATATCCACGGCACTCCTCTTGATTCTCTTTGGCTGTAACGTCTACTTTAGTTAGTTGTAAAGGGGTCTCTGCAGATTCAATAAACAGTTGAGATCATGTGCAATAAATGGCAACAAAAGTGGTAAGCTGATCATGAACTGCATGTTTCACAGCTACAAAGGAAGAAGATTTTGGAATTGAACTCTTGGGTTTCTCAGTTACATACTTAACCATGCGTGGCCAAATAGAAATTGTCTGTTCTGCAACATTTCTACCTTCCATCCATCTAGTCCATCAGAAGTGCATTGGAAATACCAAAGACTTAGAGATGCTTGTATAATCTTCTCTTTTAGCAGGGGAATCTTAAAATAACCTGAACATTCCCTTCAGTAGTGAATCGTTGCCAAATTCGTCTCCTGAACTGTCCTAAATGCATCATGAACTGTGTGCAGACTGCACGATCCAGCTAAAAGAAGCTCAGGCTGGTCTGCATCTGTTTCCCTTTCCTTGACAGTGTGCTCATACATCTTCCAGTTTACATTTGGCCCGTTCATGGAAACTTGAAGCATCTTCTTAGAGGAAAGGTCCTCTGTTCCTTCTTTGAATTTTGTTCACACATTCTTAGTAGGAGTGTGCCAGATGAATTTTGACCCTAAATATCTTGATGTGACAGTGTCCTCGTTGAAGTACCTGACTACAACATGCATTTGCTCTTTTTGTACCTCCTTGTTGAGTGACTCATAAAAACATATGACGTAATGGAGGGCGTTTGTCACCTCTTCCGTGAGTTTTCCTTTGAAATAAGGTGCAATAACAAAACAAATAACATATGGTAGTTTGATTGACTCACATTTCAATTGCAGGACAATTGCACTGTCTTGGACCATTACCCTGAAAATGTCACAGGTTTCACGACTTGAGTTGTTTGAAAATGGCCCATGTAATTCCTGCTTTCTGGTTTTCTTTTCTCAGAGCATACTTGCGGATACTAGTAGTATGGCTACGTGTTGCTACAGATGCAGCTGGCGGCGGCACAGTTATATCTGCCAAACTAACAGCATTACTTGTATGGGTATCTGGATCAGTCTGAGGTTCATTCTGTAAAAAAGTTGCTGCTACTTCAGGGGGCTTTGCTTCATCCTTCTGTGACATAGGACTTACAGAAAAATGTCATTAAACCAGATCCCTCCTTCCGCATAATTGCATATGTATGTTTCTTCCCCTGGGCATGACTCCTGATTGCAACCTCTCCCATGATAGAGAGTGAAAAAACATTCAAACAAAACTTGCAGTTTGCTTTTGTAGGGTCTCCTGGAACTTTGGCTAAACACTGTCTGTGTCAATCACATTTCAACCAGTTCATATTAAACTAATTAGTCATGATCTTGAGCTGAACCTAAAATTAAAGATTACAAAAATTCACAAGGGAATACATAATAATAATAACCACATTTGAAGTCACCTTAAGTTTGTTTCCTAATGATTTATCTAAAAAGGATACTCTATTAATAAACAAAAGGAGTATTCATAGAATCCTAAAAGCAATTTTTTTTTTTATTCTTGAACAGTCGAAAGTTGTGAGATTTGACATTTTACATTCAAACTGATTTCTGAAATTCAAATTGTAAATTAAATCCAAGGCAATGTAACATGTAAGCATTTGAAGTTTAGAATTTAGCTCTGGAGGTAAGGGGCGCTGATGATTCCCTGCATTGAATTTTTTTCAGCCAATTTCCAGGTTTTCCAATGGCAGTGGGAAACATGATAGTTGTTGTCAAAGCACAAAGTGTCATTTCAGATTACATTTCAATCTAATTGTCAATATGTTGTCTATGTTCTCCTTCAACTGCGGTCTTTGCAAACTGAAGGGTCAATGCATCTCTGATGTCTGTGCCACTTGCAAATAGGATCCCTATGTTGTCTGTGGTTCCTGGTTGGACTCTGTGTATATCTTGGACTGCAACATGCCAGTCTGGTAGGTAGGGTTCATCTTTGTTTTAAACAGGTTGTGTAGTGTGACAGCTGCAGCCACAAGGGTTTATATGAAAATGAAACCTCCTGAGGAAAGGCCTGTATATCCCTTTGAACCGTCCGAATGTATTCTTAATTGTCACATGCATGGGTACTGCTGAGCTAATTTAGATTTTGTTTCTAGGTTTAATGTCCAAACCAATCAAGCAATCTGCAGTGAACCAAAGTAAGTAAGAAAGTAGCATGACGTATCCTTTTCCATGTATAGCCTGAAGTCATTTGTAATATATACACTTGAAAACTGGATTTGACTAAAAAGATCCAAACGTTTCTAAACGTTACTATGCTGAAAACAGTCACTGAGACATTGAGTGGTCCAAAACACAGCTAACCTCTAAGATGCCCGTATCAAATATATCACCATCAAATATGTATATATTTTTTGTGTATGATATGTTCATGGTATTGAGGATAACGATTAAGTAAAGTGGGTATCCTTTTGAACCGTCCGAGTGTGTTCTTAATCGTCACATGCATGGGTACTGCTGAGATGGTAGTTGGAGTACGACTTGCTGCGAACCCCTGAAGATCTTGGGTAAAATACGTCTTCCGCAACCCATTCTTGCCGTAAAAGGGGACTATGCTTGTCATAAAAGGCATCAAACGGGATCGGATGGTCAGGCTTGCTGACTTGGTTGATACATATCATCGTATCCCAATTGCCTCAACCAAGTCAGAGAGCTTGGCCACCCAATCCCTCTTATGACAAGCATGAGTTGCTGAAGACCTATTCTATCCCGGACCATCGCGGGTCGTTAATTTCTGGTAAGATGTTCAGTCATAATATTTCCATGCCCAGCTTGGTAATAAACTCATTCAGCACCTTGACACCAATACTCTAATCCAGACAAAAATTGAAACGGAACTTCAATGTACGTTTATTTTTTTATTTTAGTTCTTCATATATGTGGTCATTTTAGGGTGAATGTTCGGGATGAATAATTTAGATTTTATTTCTAGGTTTAATAATGTCCAAACCAGTCAAGGAATCTGCAGTGAACCAAGGTAAGTAAGAAAGTAGCATGACGTATCCTTTTCTATGTATAGCCTGTAGTCATCTGTAATATATACACTTGAAAACTGGATTTGTCTAAAAAGATCCAAACGTTTCTAAACGTTACTATGCTGAAAACAGTCGCTGAGACATTGAGTGGTCCAAAACACAGCTACACTCTAAGATGCCCGTATCAAATATATCACCATCAAATATGTATATATTTTTTGTGTATGATATATTCATGGTATTGAGGATAACGATTAAGTAAAGTGGGTATCCAACATAAGGATATTTCTTTTTTCACATAGGTATGTCCTACGTTTAGATTTCTTAAAATTGTGGAAAGTGTCCAAAGTGGATAGTGTTAGGCAATGTGTACAGTGGTGTCATCATATACCAGTAAAGCTTTGGCATGATAAATTCAGGGGTTCTTCTGTTTAAGTCAAGAAAAGGGATCTTTTAAGAATTATATTTCAGTTCATTGTTTTTGTAAAACCTGTAACCTGTAACAAACTGAAGATTGTTTATATATCATTTCCTACTTGTTTGCCCAAATTATTTATATAGCCGTAAAAAGTTCATTGACCAGCATTACTATCTCTACCCTACCAGCGAAAAGTGGTGTCACTTATTATCAACACATTATGTTAGACACATTACAGGTCTTGGTTTATATTTGTAAAGATGCTCTGTATATCTTGTATGCTAAGCCATAGTGCTGAAATTATTGCTGCGCACAGTATTATTTTTATATTTAGTACCGTTGGTTATGAGGCTAGAGATGCTATAGAAATTTATCATCTGTCACCTTTTTGTTCTAGGAGAAAGAAGTGTGGTGAACTATGGGAATGTTGATACAATACGAACGGGAGATCAAGTTTTCTATTATACAGGTAAGATATTGAATGGTAAGCTTTGGCTATATTTTTAGATGCCTTTAACACACAATTACGACCACCAGTATTAGTAAAAAAACTATGATATGTTTTAAATATTAGAGAACTTTTTAGAAAACTGTAATAAAAATGTGCCAAATGTACAAATCAGACACCTTGATATTCAATATTTATTATCAATGTTTATGTTGTCCAATTAACGTTCAGCAAATGAATATCGACTGTGTATTACCACACTTATGTGTATTTTCTTAAACCAGCACCTAGTAATGTTTGTTGAAACAAACGCGCTTTCTCATTGGTTATTATTAGAATATGAATTGCCTTAAATATTAAATGAAAAGTCACAAAGATTAAACATAATTTCAGTCCTTGAAATAACACATTTATGAGATACAGTCTGGAAAACATGTAATAAATGCAAATGTTTGTGTGCATGTCATGAGTAGTATGCATAAGAAAATGAAACACTTTTATAAACACTTCTGATTAACACTAGGGTAGCAATTACGTTCTTGCAATTAGAATGTCAATTTTATATGACCTATGTTTGTAAATTAAAAGAGACAAAGCCCTTTTCATACTCATAAGAAATCTCTGCTAGCCACACCCAACAATGCCAATGCTAATTATATCATTTCTTGTTTGACGCATAGATGATAAAAGCGGGCGCTGGCTAACTAATCTGTGTGGTGAGTATGGTTGGCTTTTTAGTTCTATTTTGTCTGTATATTGCATGTACCGTTCTAAAACACAATGGAACAATTTTTCGCAAGGAACTCCACATATACTTAAGAATTAAAAGTCTGTTTGGATTGGTTCATTGAAGTATGGACGATTTTAACGCGCTGGTTAAACTGTGTGAACCCCTGGCTTGTGAGGCTCTTAGGAAAGTTTAATCAGTTACACTTCAATTCTTATAATTTCATGCATTGTAGTTTACTGGTCTCGCCGAATAATATTGCAACAATACTTTCTTACTTTGAAGTTCTCTGGTTTCGCAGAAAAAAACTTCGAGCAATGTCACTTTGTCATTTCTCATTTTCGGGTTCTCGGTCACATCCTTTTCATCACTCATCCCCAGGTAGTCAAATAAACTAGTTCCTTCAATAAAAACAACATAAGCTGTAATGTATATTTTTAACATGAACATAATTGAATTCTGTTACGTGTCGATTCCCAAATTGAAACAATGTGTTAACCCAGAAAACAGTACGTAAAAGATTTAAGTGTGGAATACAATCAACAAATGTATTACAAAATTCACAAGGTTTGCAAATCAATACAAATGACTGAACAGTAATTACAGTAGTAGCAAACAATAGAGTTGTAGTACAATATTCAATGCCATAATATAATAAGATGGCAGTGGTCAGTGTCAAATACACAAATACAGTGGTGATAGAAAAAGATACTTAAAATATTGTATAATCACCCAGCGGCGACAGTGGTCCACCTTCCGAGATGGGCTAGGCAGGCAATCGGGAATGATGAGCGATCCTCACATGAAAGCTGGTACCGTACCGATGGAAATGCATGAGAGATGTATGTGTTTAAACACGCTATTGTCCCCTTATATACAACCTAGCCAGCCACTGGAAAGTTCAAGACATTGCCCTCACCAGTCCATCAGCACTCGGATATTAAATACGTTTCCACAACAGCCTGTCACCGTCCACGGTATATGGACCGGAAGTTTACATACCGTACTATCATCTAAATATAGTAACTTCCTGACGACTGATCACTGTATAAACACAATGCAATGAGCGTCTACCGAATCTCAACAGAATCAATGACTCACAGTTGCAATCTTTTTTTTTTAAATAATAAAATACACTGCCGTATAAGAGTTCTCTGAACATCTTGACAAATATTATGTAGGATAAATCACATCTTGAATAAATAGAGCAGGAAAGTGAATAAACATGTAAACATGAGTCGATGCACTGAGACAAGGTCAACCGTCATGTGCGGATTAATGTATAAAGTCACAGAAGTTTGTAAACAGCTGTTTAACGCAAATTTTATTGAGCAGTTTTTGAAAAGCATGAACCTTCCCATTACAGACAGAACATACATTGATTTTGTCTCCGCCTTCCTTGTATTTGTGAAAAACATCTTTAAACAGTCAAATATTTGGTGATTAATCACATATCATAATTCAATTTGCATACTAGTATGTTAATGATAATGACATAGGTGCTCTCTGAATTTCAGATAACACTGCCAAAGCCATCCAATCATTTACAGAGGACATGATAAAAATATCAGCTGTTGACAAAATCACCGAAAAGCTGACATCTGGTGTGAAATGGATACCAATAACTGGCAGTCCTGGGGAAGGGAAGACAACTCTAGGCTACCTGATCCTGAAGGAGATGAAGGAGAAAGGATGGAATGTTTGTGTACTCACGAAACCGGAGGATTATGATACAGTACATTCATTTGCTGAGGGAAAGACTCTGTTTATGCTTAACGATGTCTGTGGACCATTTGCATACGACCCTTTTGCCTTGAGTACGTGGAAACAATTCATTATTAATGTACAGGAAAGGAAAAGTTATCAAGATACAGAAGCCTATATTTTTATAGGTAGAGAAAACGTTTTCAGGGAAGTTCGAAGACATTTTGGAAAACATGAGGAAAACATTTTTGGTAGATGGTTTAATCTGAGTGACCAGGATTCGTTTCTGTACAATGAACGTATGTACATTCTCAACATGCACTTGGATAAAGGCAAAGTCAATGTGAGAGAGCTCGACCGGGTTAAAGTGTGTTCACTTACTGGTCCACATGGTTTTCCTCATTGTTGTAAGATGTTTGTTGAACTAAAAAACAGGGGAACAGACGTAAACATTATTGAATTCTTTCAAAACCCTCTTGAGTTCCTGGGTCAAACTATCAAAGTTCTTCTTTTGGAGAAACACACAAACATGTTTTTGAAAGAAATGATAAACAACAATGGGAAGTTTGATGTTGATGAAGTTGAAAATGATGACAAACGGGGAGAAATGAGAGCTGCTGAGAGAAGTCTGTTGGGCAGCTATGTGGAACATGTTGATGATGATGGTATAACTGTGTTCACCCACCCTTCTATATATGAGAGTGTTGCCTTTGGTATCGGAAGGGATGATCCTCTGTTCATCATACAGAAGTGCAACATACCATTTATCTTGCAAAGAATGAGGAGGGAAGATCCAAAAAGTGGCGTACGTTCAGAGGATGAAAGCCCAAACTACCTTCGAATACACGTCTCAAAGAAAGCTGTACTAAAGTATCTGGTTCCTAAACTAACACGGGCCCTCACAAAGGATTTTCGTGTTCTACAATATGATATCTGCCATGATGAAACAGTTTGCAAACACATATTTGAAGAATTTGTGAGAACTTTCCAAGGCTTGCATTCAAGTGCCGAGGTAGGTTTTAATTAACCCTTGAGTGGGGCAAATATACATAAACGTGAACATATCTTTATTTGGACATGCCGGTTTTAAAATACTTTTGGGAAAATACATGCTTTCTGAAAAGAAAAATAACAAGGCACCCTAAACTTCATGTGTTAGTAAAAGATGCGATTGAATCATTCAAAAGTTACAGTGGTGAATGGTTGGGACTGAACTGCCGAGAGGTGTAAGTGGTTGACACGTATCGAAGGGTTGGGACTGAACTGCCGAGAGGTGTAAGTGGTCGACACGTATCGAAGGGTTGGGACTGAACTGCCGAGGGGTGTAAGTGGTTGACACGTATCGAATGGTTGGGACTGAACTGCCGAGAGGTGTAAGTGGTTGACACGTATCGAAGGGTTGGGACTGAACTGCCGAGAGGTGTAAGTGGTCGACACGTATCGAATGGTTGGGACTGAACTGCCGAGAGGTGTAAGTGGTTGACACGTATCGAATGGTTGGGACTGAACTGCCGAGAGGTGTAAGTGGTCGACACGTATCGAATGGTTGGGACTGAACTGCCGAGAGGTGTAAGTGGTCGACACGTATCGAATGGTTGGGACTGAACTGCCGAGAGGTGTAAGTGGTCGACACGTATCAAATGGTTGGGACTGAACTGCCGAGAGGTGTAAGTGGTTGACACGTATCGAATGGTTGGGACTGAACTGCCGAGAGGTGTAAGTGGTTGACACGTATCGAATGGTTGGAGCAGTCGCGTTTGCTCTGTCAGTGGCAACATCTGAGCAGGGTACGACATTATTTTCATTGGTGCTAGATTCCTGTCATTTCCGAAAACAAGGCATCAAAGTCAGTATCGCTCAACAAATCAACTTCGTTCACCTCAGTAGTTTTACAGAATTAATTTTCTTCACTTGCGTTATTAGTATTGAAAGATAGCAATTCCTTATCCAAATCACAGCAAGGACAATCCATTTTGTGTCATGTTGCAGCTAGACGACATCACTCACCAGAACCAAAGCATTTATTTATTTATAAGTCAGATAAAATGTTACAAGACCAGGCAAAAATACTAAATTAATTATATTGCTGATAAATGCAGGTATTAAAATGAAAATAGAAAAACGAGTTTGTCGTAAACACCGATCGAGAATATGGGGGAAACCCCGGAAAGTTGTTCCAGCAAAAGTGCACACGATCAATTTCACAAAAAATTGTTCACATCGTGTGAACTTTCTTTGTCCATTCACGGTTGTGTGAACTCCAAATATCAGATCATGTGACTACACCTTCAGCCAATCAGCAAGAAAGAAACAGTGTAAACTTCAAAGTATGAAATTATTCTCAAATGATACGACCTAAAAAACATTATTTTTTCTCGTAAATGTCTTATATCTGTAATTAGGTTGAAATGATTTAATCCATGCCACATTGTTGATGTTGAAACAGTGTTTAGTGATCCCATATCATTCATATCATCTTTTACCAAAAAGTGTTTATACAGAGAAACTCCTCTGATTGTTGGGTAGAGCTAGAATCTTGGCTGTATAGTATGGCATATCCTGTTTCGTTTAACATTTTTTAATATACTGAACAGCATTGAAAACGCACCAGCAATAAATCTTGAAATATTACAAAAACAACTTGAGCAATGACAGATTTTAATTAGAACAGACATAGACGGATTATTAAAAAAGACGACAAAGGAAACAGGAATATCACACAGTAATTACATTTACGTCATCAGTGTGAGGAAGACACATAGGGTTAAAATGAAAAGTCAATATCTGGAATGTCCGCCATTGGCAGCAACACAGGCCATGCAACATCTTCTCATCCATAGAATAAGTCTGCGAATAGTGTTCTGGGGCATTCCACTCTTGACGTAGTGTATCTTCAAGTTCTCTCAGATTCCGTACTTGCGGACAACGTGAGAGGCATTGACCCAGGTAATCCCATAGATGTTCAACTGGCGATAGATCGGGTGACAGGGCTGGCCATGGAAGCAGAGGCACATTATTGTTCTCCACATCGACGCCACACTCGCAGTCGACCGTCATCATTCCGTAAATGAAAACGGGACTCATCAGAGAACAGCACACCATGCCACTGCCACAATCTCCAATGACGATGCCTTTTGGCCCAACGCAGACGTTCATTTCGATGTCGTCCAGTGAGTATGGGACCAACATATGGACGTCGAGCACGTAGCCCTGCTGAGTGGAGAGGTCGACGTACGGTGTCAGCACTGATCAATTCCATCGGCCTTGTACGGTTGCTGCAGTCCTGGTAGCCGGAAGTGTACGATCACAAAATGCCGACGAACAATATGGCGATCCTGACGTGGTGTAGTTACACAACGTTGACCCGGACATGGTAGATCTCTGTTGGTCCTTGTCTGCTATTATCTGCTCAGTAACCTGAGAACTGTTCAATGATGGCATTGAAACCATTGTACAACGTTCCTCTGCTGTTAATCTTGGCATTTCTTGTGTCAGTACCCTTTACATCTGCAGCAACAAGTGATGTGGCGTTTAAAAGTCTGTCTTTTATAGCCCTATTCTGCATGGTTCCCGTGAAACAAAACACGTTTTACATGATGTGAACGCAATTTGTTGCGTTTTGGCGATTTCGCTCACAAAAAAATTAGGAATGTGTTTTGACGAGCTGTTCTTCTTCATGCTTCGTCCAGAACATCATATATTACTCATTCACTTACATATTTTCATGGTGTTATCACTTATTTTCAGTGATCCATTCACACTGTATGTCATCACATACTCAGATTAAATCTGTTTCAGAAGCCACTCGAGACGGACTATCTTCTGGCTTTGGCGTTTTGAATTTCAGTTTTAGCTGCATTGATCTTTTAACCTTTTCAGGTCACCAATGTCATAGACGTCCATGATGTATTCGAGGAAACTCTACTGCTTGCAGCTGCGAATGTTTCTAACCTTTCATCTGTTAAAACATTGTTAGATATGGGTGCTGATGTGAATGTCAGAAACAGAACTGGGCAGACAGCACTTCACTTAGCCTGTGAGGCAGAGAGAATAGACGTCCATCTTATCCAGTTACTCCTAGCAGAGGGTATTTGTGTCAACATGGTTGATAGAAAAGGAAGGACAGCTCTTCATGTAGCATGTGAGGCAAACAGCTTGGACGTCAGCGTTCTTGAAGTTCTTCTCCAAACTAATTGTGATGTCAATATCACAGATAGCTCAGGAGATACAGCTCTTCACAAAGCATGTAAGGACAATGGTGGAGACATCTGTATTCTAAAATTACAGATACCCCCCAATGCTGACATCACCGTACCTGATAATGAAAGTCGCAGGTCAATAGTGAGAGTATGTAGAGCAGGTTTAGATGCGAGGGAAATTGTGCATCTCAGCACCCAATCTGTTGACATCAATGTCCCTTATTCTAATGAAATAACAGTACTTTACTTATTGTGTGTCGGAAATAGTATGGATTTCGATATTATGAGGTATCTGTTTCATGCAGGCATTAGCTATGGATTCGAAAATCGGAGAGAAAGAGAATCACTTTGCGTAGTCAACAGTGAAAAAAAAGCTACACGTCCATTTGAAGCAATGCCCACAAAAGGGGCTGATGTGAAGATAGCAGACAGAACAGGAACAACAGCACTTCATCTAGAATACAAGAATATCAGTATGGATGTCTGTGTCATTGAGGCACTCATCAAACACTGTACTGATGTCAACATTGTCAATAAAGATGGAAAAACTGCACTCCACATTGCATGTGAAGGAGAACGTGCAGATGTCCGTCTTGTGAAGCTGCTGGTCATGCACGGCTCTGGTGTGAACATTGCCGACACGAAAGGAAAGTCACCTCTGCATTGTGCATGTCTTGGAGACAGTGTTGACGTTGTTGAGTTTCTTGTTGCACATGGAGCTGATGCTAACATCACTGACACAAATGGAGATACAATACTTCACTTGGCATGTCGGAGAAGGGGTATCAAGGCCTGTGTTTGTGAGGTACTTATCAAACATGGCACTAATGTGAATGCCACTGGTAACCATGGAATGACAGCACTTCATTTGGCCTGCGACACTTTAGATGTAGACATTGGTGTAACCGATCTTTTCATACAACACGGTGCTGATCTCAACATTCTAGATGAAAAGGGAAGAACACCTCTTCACCTAGCATTCACAAACTCTCATTCAGACTTTCGTGTCATTGAGTCACTTGTGACTAATGGTGCTGCTCTGAATATCCAACAAAATGGAAAGGCAGCACTTCTGCTAGTTTGCAGTGAACATAGAGTAGACGTCCGTGTTGTTGAGCTACTTCTCACACATGGAGAGGATGTAAATGCTATTGATGAGGATGGAAATACAGCACTTCATTGCAGATTATCTATGATTAACAGCAACGATAAAGATGTTATAGAACTTCTCATCAATCATGGAGCTGACGTCAATATCGCTAATCAAAGCGGAATTACACCACTGCACTTGACATGCTCGAGAGTGGATGCAATGGTATCATTTACGGGCCCCGGAATGTCATTTCAAAAATCATATGAGATTCAACATGAACAGGACATCCATGTGCTTGAGTTACTCCTGACACATGGTGCTTATGTCAATGCCGCTGATGGATGTCAAAGGACAGCACTTCAAAGACAGTGCAGGTTGAGAAGTGTAGATGTCCGTGTTATTGACTTACTCTTGAAACACGGTGCTGATGTCAATGTCACTGACGAATATGGAACCACAGCCCTTCATGAAGCCTGTGAGACTGGTGATGATTTAGCCTATCCAAAAACGTCTCCAGGTAATGAAGGTTTTGTTATCCGACAGCGCCGAATCGCAGATAACATGGAGGACCATAAAGACACTGGTGCTATAGAGTCGCTCATCAGACATGGAGCTGATGTCAACAAGGTTGACGCTGGAGGAAAGACCGCACTTCACTCAGCATGCAAAGACCACAGAGACTTCCATGTTATTGAGTTGCTCGTTAGAAATGGCACTGATGTCAACGCGGTTGATGCTGATGGAAATACAGCCCTTCATATTCTGTGCAAAGACAAAATAAATGAAAATGATGAGCTATCCATTCTTGTGAAGAGTGGCGCTGATCTATACAGACATAACAGAAAAGGTTGCATTGCATATTGCGTGCAGGACAGTCATCCTCTGGTAAGTGTAGCACATTGTCTGTATTAAAGAAGTATATACATCTGACTATTAACTATTCAGTTGTCTGTCATTCCTGTTCCTTTTGTTACAAAGAGTTATACATCAGCAAATTTAATTTGTATTACTGTTCATAATAATTTTACTGATCGTTGCCCTGTAAGACTAATGTGTACACTGCATCAACGATCTTCTTTACTCCAAGAGATATTTTGAATATTGTATAAATCTGTTTTGATTTGAGTTATGATACCATACCATCTGTACATTCGATATCGCCCTACATACATAATCCTTTCCCGACAACGGTAACAAACGGTTTTCCATAATTATAAGGTATAAGGAGTACTTTGTAAGATTCCAACATAAATTTGATTGATTGTTAATTTATAAAACTAACTATTATGTGATTAACAAATGTATATTTCAGCCAAACGATGTTAGGGTTCACTACACCGAGTTGATGATGGCAATACAGAAAGGTGATTTCCCTGCAGTCCATGATCTCTTGGCGCAGGGAGTCCCCATCAATACCACAGACAGGTTCGGACGCACGGCTCTCCACTACTTGTGTCTAAGTGACCATATAGATACCAGTGTTTTGTCATTAATGGCGTACAAACAATATGTTAACATGCCTGACAGGTTTGGTAACACAGCTTTACATTGCTTGTGTAGGCGAAGAGACAAAAAGGAAATTGTAAATATGCCACGTCTTCTCAAGATTCTCTTGAAAGCTGAAGCTGACGTGAACGTGCGAGATGAGTTTGGTTTCAGTTCTCTATATTACCTGCAAGGAGTTATGAGTTTGAAGATGTTGGACTTGCTGATGATACACTGCAGCCAACTGAACGAGAACATCGGCAACGGTCTAACTCTCATGCACAGTATATGTTCGGATGAGCAATGGGAATGTCTCGAAAGGATCATCAGTGAAGCTGATGATATGAACAAACAAAGCAGCAAGACCCTGTATAAACGAAAAAACCTCAAAGTTCTTCCACACGGCTCAACAGCTCTACAATTGGCGTGCATGTCAGCTACCATTTCCGAAAACAATGTGCAGATGATGATACACAAGGGAGCAGATGTTAACATCAGCAACAAAAATGGGCAGATTCCTTTGCATGTTCTGTCTTCAGCACTTCCGGACATCATTTGGAATGGAAAGTGGTTACTGAGAAGAAGTAGGGACCAAGAGAAACTGCGCATTTGTCTTCTACTTCTGAGGAGAGGATCTGACATTCATAAACAGGACAAACATGGCTTCACAGCTCTAGTAAATGTAAAGGTATGTTTCAAATGTCCTTCAAGGCTGTTAATCGTTAGATCTGTTGGCACCATTCGGTTTTAAACAGATTGCGTGTTAACATCCATGCTTATCAAACATGATTAAATCTATTTCAGCACACACACATTGAAGTAAAATTGACAGTAACCATTGTATCGATTCAAGCGTCATTCAGACGAAATTCAGGGTGGTTACATTGGCAATGACGTTTTGCCAGTTGGATCATTTTTGCCAGTAAATCATCACGTTCATGGTGAATACAATTACAGTTCATTTAGGTTTATACATGTTCTAAATATTAACGTCTCCTTGAACAACTATTTTGGCAGCAGGGGTGCATGATACTGGGGTATACTATTGTATGAAAATGTAAATTAATTTGGAACTCTTACATCTCTAATAAAATGAAGCTTGTTTGTATAACATCATTTATTCAACAAATCACAAAAAGAATGACAAGAAATGACTGATGTGTTTATTGTTGCAGGTTTTACTGGATTCTGTCAACAGTGCAATGGAAGGAATACAAACAATATGTGATGAGGTTTCAGCCCTGATACAAAACAACAGTGTAGTTCATGATCTGCTCAAAGAAAGTGATATTGCAGAGACTGATATATTTGGAAGAACAGCTCTTCATTACTTGTGTCTGAGTCAGCACCCTCACCAGGCTGATTTCCAACTGGTACCATGCAATACTGACGTCAACAAAGCTGACAAGTGGGGTAGTACAGCCCTTCACAATCTGTGTAGGAGATATGACATTCAGCGGTTACCTAATTTGATACAATTACTTCAGATTCTGTTGGAATCAGGAGCTGACATAAACACGAAAGATGAGTATGGATACAGTTCTCTGTATTACTTACGTGAAATCATGAACGTCGAACTCCTAGGCATACTGATGTCACACTGCACACAGCTAAACGAAGACAACGGGGATGGCCTCACTCTCCTGCACTATCTCTGTGCGACAGGATCAAGAGAATGCCTAGAGATGCTCCTTGATTATGTCGATGATTTGGACAAAGAAGTGAGCCAGAATGTCACAAGCACAAGCGGTAATTGTGTTTTCGTTCAGGGTTTGACGGTCCTCCCGATTGCATGCATGACAAAAGGTGTTGACAAAAGTCTTATTGAGATGATTTTGCAAAAAGGAACTGATGTTAACACTGCTGACGTCCTAGGGAAAACGCCATTGCATTACATTTGCGAACAATCATTGGTGTTCAGGTGGAACAGAGCTTGGTCCAAGAAGGCTTTGACATGGCTAAGTACAAACAACATCACCGTGTACTGCTTCTTGTTGGAACGGGGAGCAGAAGCACAGAAAAAAGACAACCGCCATCGTCCCCCAAATGCATCCATTTTACAAAATCCATGTCAATTTCAGGTTTGTTAATATTTGAAATATAATCGTTTCTTTCTTTTTTATTTAACGCCGCACTCAGCAATATTCCAGCTTTATGACGGCGGTCCGAATAAAAACGAACCTGAACCAGACAATCCAGTAATTCACACCATGAGCATCGATCCACGCAATTGGGATACGATAACATGCATCAGCCAAGTCAGTAAACCTGACCACCGGATCCCGTCAGTCGCCTCTTACGACAAGCATTGGTTGCTGAATCCCAATTCTAACCCGGATTCTTCAGGAGTCATTTGAAATATAAAGTCGTAATGAGATGCTTTGTTACAATAACGAAAATCGTAAATTTACTGAATTCTTAGAACAATTTAATATGCACAGTTTATAGTCCAGGAGCCAGGGGTCATTTATCTGCATGAAATGAGAGAGTCTTTCATTGGTATTTCTGAAAGGGGTATCCCATGGGGTATCCAAAACAGAGCTGCTTGAATGGCACAGCCGGGGCATTTAGCCAGAATTAACCCTTTTCTCTCATTTTGCCGGTATGGACTATCTGGCGAAAAAGTGGGGTAGGGCAACTTCAAAATTGAAATGAGCTCTTGTTAATGGACCTATAAAAGAGATCTAGGTGTCAAATTGAACATCGTGGTAAGCTCCATTCGATCCAATCATGGCAAATGCAAATTGACCTTTTTAGAGGTCAGTGGGGGATCAAAGGTCACGTGACAACCCTTGAGCTAAAAATTCCGCCTTTTTTCTTATCCAAGCCCAGTTTAGTAGGAAAGACAACAAATATTTTTTTAAAGTGAATATGTTTTATTAGATAAGAATCCAGGTAAGTTCTTAAAACCATTTTTGAAGCCAGATCTTGAGGTTAGGCTAGCCCCCAGCACTGTAGATAATGTGCATTTTTAGCTCTCAGCCCAGAAATGTCTCAAATGATTTTCACCACCAGATGGCACTTCCATAAGAACTCACACATACGGTGGAAATGTTGAAGCCAAGTTATGTTGAATACAGGATGATATTATGATAAACTGTGAAGTAGGCCTATGTTAATCTTTTCCTGGGTAACCAAGGGTTCAAGGGTCAAGGGTCCAACAAGGGTGCAAAGGTCTGTTAGTATGCACAAAAATTGCATCCACTTGTAATGAATTTATGCAAGCAATGAACAAATATGGCCTACATAACAAGGGCAACTTGAAAGACCATATATGGTCTTCTGTCCTAAATAAAGGATCAAGAACAATGATAGATCAGGTTAATCTTGGTACACCCAAATTACCCATCTGCCATCTCTAATGCCACCATATGAGGATCTGATATTCCGGTATTAAAACTTATTGACCAGACAATAAGTCATCACTATAAAACCGCAGTGACATGCAGTTATCATGTTGTTGACTTCAATGATACTTTTTTGTTATCAGACTCCTCTTCATCCAAAGAAAGGCTTGGGGTCAGCATACCGTCATCTTTAGCTTCATCATTCAAGTCCAAATCCTCCACCGACAAGTTTCGAGGCACCCGAGGGCACTCAAACCACACCATAGCCAACCTGTTATTGTCATCCACTTTCCAACCATGCCCGATGGGACCAAATCCTACTGGCTCTGCACTGCATGCATTCTTCCAGATAAATGCCAGATGGTTGGTTCGCTTTAGTTTTTCTTCAAGAACTGCTGTGCATGGTGGTAGGCAGCAAGGATCAGAGGACTTGATTTTCTCCAATGGGTCTGACTGCTTCTTGAGTGCATACATTTTTTGGAAGAGTTGCAGTCTTGCATCGTTGGTCCTTTGAGCATCTTCAACCTGTACATGCAGCAGACGTATTCCTCGAGTGTGGCCGCAACATCCACATCAATCGTATCAGACGTTCCTAGCATGGATAATGCCTTAACAAATCATTCATTCTTCACCATAATTTCATATGGTTTCGACTTCAGCTTCCTCCTGAATGCTGCAGTGAAGTCGAAGCCTGTGAAGGCATGGAAGCTGGGCAGTGCTTCACATACCACAGGAGTGAGGTTCTCAGCCAGGCCAGATATTTCAATGAGGCGCCGTGTATTCTTCGAAATCACTCTAGTATCCATCAACAACTTCACATTGATATATTCCGCGTGGTATAGCAGAAGAATGAATACATCCGTATCAATGCTGCAGACCACCACTCCTGGCATCTACTTTAGAGGCAGCAACCAAGTTTGCGTGAAACACCAGCTTCGTGTCGGCCTCCTCATGGGTACACCCAAGGTGGTCAACTGTTATCCTCTCTACCTGTCTACCATTTGATGTGAAGAGGAAGCATTCCTGTCCAGTTGCATAATACAGCTTGTGGCTCTCCAGAATACTTGCATACCTTGAACTGAGCCACCCATCTTTCAAAAAGGAAAGCAATTCCTGTTTAAAATCAGCAGATTTCGAGGCATTTTGGAAGTCAGCTGATCTTTTCTGTAGGGGACCGGTGATCTTGAGAGAATGCATCAGCGAACAACCACGATTGTCATGCTCCTGATCTTGATTGATGGTCCATCTGGATATGTATCACAGATGAGATGAACTATTTAGGCATAAGTACAGACGCGCTGAAGGATTGACCTGGCTACACAGCGGAAGGAACATGGCATCAATCAGATAGGCATCGACTGAATCTGGCTCATTGTTAGCAACTGTCCCCAGTGCCTCAAGCTTTTCCATGAACATACTCTTTGCAGTCTTATTCATATCCCCTGTGATGTGACAGAGAGAGAATGGAACTGGTGTAAGAGGGTGCGACAAGACAGTGCCCAAATCAATCTTCTGCGTCACAGCAAGATACGCGAGTCTTCCGAACAAATCTCTGGTGCAGCTGACCTCCCTGATCTTTTGATCTTTGGCGGGGACTTTCATCTTTACTGCATCTTGAGCAAAGTTCTTCACCTTCTGGCGTTTGATTGGTTTCTCGAATCTGGCTGGGTCTTCCTTGCACTCATTGACAAATTTCTGATGCCATTCTGAACCTTTCTCTTGCAATTGCAGAAGATCATCCTTGACAGTGTCAGAGGCAGCCTTTCAGGTCGCGAGACAATACAGTTTGTCATCACCAGGAATGAGTGGGTTCTGGGTGCCTTCAATTTCTCTGATGAAGTCTTTGAGATTAGAATTGTCTTTCTCAATTCTGGCTGGCGTCAATTCTCTGGACACTTCTTCTCTGGCTGTTAATCCTGCCATTTCTAACAGACAACTCATCTATGCACCTCAAAAAGAATGTGTAACTGTCCAGCGCTTGGGTGTATTTACATTTTACGTAAATGCTTTTATGTAAATGCGGCAATACCCCAATGCCTTGAAGCAGCATCTTTATTGACGGTCTGCTCTCGGGTTAAATCGACCGCACTTCTAGCAATGACTTGCCGGTTCGACGGATGGATAGGGTACCAGCATCAAACACATCTCTAATACCAGGTTAAGTATGCTCCATGTTTATGAGGTTGAGATAATAGCGTGACATCCATCTTGCGTAGTTTAGACGATGTGTGACGAAGAACATAAGTATCATCTCACCCAGTGCAAAGATGAACAGAGTTGTGTCATTAGTTCGACATGCCCTGTTGAGAAGGAGGTACAGTCGAACTAGATCAATATACAGCATCCAGTACTGTGCAGTAGGACCATGACGTCCGGCTCTCGTTTCGTCGTGTTGTGCATATCTCTCAAACAAATTCAGGATGGCAGAGGAATCAATGAGAATCGACAACGATCCAGGGCTCGGTGCTTCAGAAAAGGCATTCAGCAATGCTATGCATTCATCAGATATGTGTCCATGGGACTCCAGAAATTGCTTGAAGTGAATGATTAGCAACGGTGTTGCAAACAGGGGATGCAGATGCTTTCACCTGTTGAAGTGTTTCCCGCGAATGAAGCCACGCATGGAACCAGAAGCTAGCACAACAGAACCACATAGTATTTCCGGTCCTCCAGATGGTTCTAAGAAGTAGCCTAAGCAAGCAAAATATGTCATGAAGATATGGAAAGCTCCAAAGCACACAAAGACATTATCAAAGAGGGGAGATTCCTGAGCCTGTATCTGCAGGGCTGGCTTTGCAATCGCTAAGTCGTATGTCACCATTGCACACTTATCACCGCATTCTGATGCAACCTTCTGTGATCTTGCCCTCATTTCCCTTACAACATCTGACCTTGTCGGGGGCAGCTATATGTTCTCCATATTGCCTATGACCTGTCTTGGCAGTGGATCATGACACACCAACGAATTCCAGCCATGCCACATCGGTGTCTTCGTATGGATACAACAACAAATCATCCAAATCATGGTAAGGATAGGCCTACACGTTTTCACTAGACTCTTACCGCTTGTCAATTTCTTTACTCTCATTTTAGGGCAACACATCATAGTGTAGGGACTTACCAGAACTGATGACTATATCTCCACTATTTGAAATGATTCTTTAAAAACAGGAATCTACATTATTTGTTTCAAGTACATTATACTTGTTACATTGTTATGCAAAACAATCCTTCCTCATAAGACAGAAGATCAGTAATTTGTGAGAAGTGCCATCTGGTGGTGAAAATCATTTGAGACATTTCTGGGCTGAGAGTTAAAAATGCACATTATCTACAGTGCTGGGGGCTAGCCTAACCTCAAGATCTGGCTTCAAAAATGGTTTTAAGAACTTACCTGGATTCTTATCTAATAAAACATATTCACTTTAAAAAAATATTTGTTGTCTTTCCTACTAAACTGGGCTTGGATAAGAAAAATGGCGGAATTTATAGCTCAAGGGTCGTCACGTGACCTTTGACCCCCCACTGACCTGTAAAAAGGTCAATTTGCATATTTCATGATTGGATCGAATGGAGCTTACCACGATGTTCATTTTGACACCTAGATCTCTTTTATAGGTCCAATAATAAGAGCACATTTCAATTTTGAAATTGCCCTACCCCACTTTTTCGCCAGATAGTCCATACCGGCAAAATGAGAGAAAAGGGTTAATTCTGGCTAAATGCCCCGGCTG